AAGGCAGACGAGTTCGGCTGCCTAGAATAGACGGCGGCGGTTTTTTAATGTGTATGTGTGTCTTGTGGGGCGTGGAGGGGGTGGGTGGGTGGGAGGCGAGCGCGCGCGCACCCTCGGGAAAGAAAAGGACCCCTTTCCTGCTTCTCCGCGCGGCAAGCGGCGCGCGCGCCAGGTGAGCGGGCAGACTTGACAGCCGAGGGAGGGAGGGAAGGTGGAAGGAAGAGCCGCCCGGGGGAACAGCCGTGAGAAGTAATAACCCCCCCCCCCTCGCTTCCTCAATTCCACCCTGTTCATAATACCCTTCTCGGTCCGTTCAGCCCGTTCCGGCTGGTCCCGGCTCTGACCCGTTGCAACCCCGTCCGGCGGCCTCCCTCGACCCGGTTCTTGGACGGCCCTTCACCCACAAGTGTCCGCTGTGAACGCGACGCCCGTCGGGTCCCAAACAGGAGGGGATCCGTTGGGAGGGAAGGAATTAGGAACGGGCAAATGCCTGGCTGCAATTGCACGCCTGCACACACGTATGCGCACCCGCACACGTGTAAGTGCAAGCCTTGGTAAGGCCGCGCCTAGAGCACGGGAAACCCTCGACTTACAACACTTCGTTTAGTGGCCGTCCAAAGTTACAACGGGCCTGGAAAAGGTGACTTTTTTCCCCCACCCGTTGCATCATTTCCCAGGCGCACTGTGATTGACGTTTGCATGCTTGATACAACTGACTCGCATGTATGACGGTTGCAGTGTCCCGGGGGTCACTATGGTGACCTTCCGACAAGCCCAAGTCAATGGAGAAGCCAGATTCACTTAAGCGCCCTGTTGCTAGTTTTAACCACAGTAGCGATTCACTTAACAGCTGTGGCAAGAAAGGTCATAAAATGGGGGCAAAACTCACTGTCTCACTTAGCGATATAGATTCCAGGCTCCATTGCGGTCGTAAGTTGCGGACTATCTCAGCTTAGGGTTGACTCAGCCTTCCATCCTTCTGAGATGGGTAAAATGAGGACCCAAAATTTGGGGGGGGGGGCAATATATGCTGACTCTATAAACCACTTAGAGAGGGCTGTAAAGTGGTATCTAAATCTAAGTGCTATTTATTGCTAGCGCTATCTATTGCATTCAGTTTTGATCCCCACATTACAAATAAAGAAGTTGAGACTTTGGGAGGAAAAATGTGCAAAGAAGAGCAACTAAGATGATCAAAGGTCTGGAGGCTAAAACATACGAAGAACAGTTGCAGGATTTGGGTTTGGCTAATCTAGAAAAAAGAAGGACTGAGAAGGACAAAATTAACAATTGTAAGATGGCCACACTAAGTCTTGTTTCCCTGTTGAGGAAGTCTGGCTCTTTGGCACCTCTTGTGATAATCCGTGGTTTGTTTAACTAGGTTTGCTGAATGAACTACCTTGTAGAGTTTGCAAAATAGATCCGTGTCAAGCACCATGTCGGTTGAGGTGATCTGCAAACACTGTGCATCAGAGCGATCTGGCCAACTTTTTTGCCTTTGTATCTGAAAATATGCAAAGTGGCCCCACCTTAGCTTTCTGCCATAGAGGTTTTTACAATGGCAGCTGGGATCTTCTTAATAGAAGAGGATTCTTTATTGGCCAAGTGTGATCGGACATCGCAAGGAATTTGTCTCCGGTGCAAAAGCTCTCCGTGGACATACAAGCAACCAATGATAAATCAGCATCAGAATCGTAAAATAATTTCTGCCTCTTCAGCGATTTATGTACTGCAGAGTTTAGAAGCTGGGAGGAGGGAGGAAATAATCTTTCTTTTTGGATGGATTTTTATCCTACCTTTTCTCCACAAGCTCCAAAAGATTGCCTTTTGTTGTATTGCCACAACATGCTTGTGTGAGGTAGGCTGAACTGAAGGAGTTGCCCCAAACCATCCCATTTTCCTTGCTAAAAATGAACCTGAACTTGGCTATTCTTCTTCCCCGGATCAACTTTCCCCAACGGGTACCCCGTTGGACTTCGACTCCCAGAATCCCTAGCCATTTCTAAGTGCTCCCAGCAGAGCATTCTGGGAGTTGAAATCCAGCACAGATGGTAGAAGATTGGAGAAAAACTGTTCTTATTCTCCGAAGATGCTATTAGACAACTCAACCAAGGCTCTGAGCATTGCAGACAGGCTTCCCCTCGGTGGAATTATGCTATCTTCACTCCCTTTGGATGACTTTTTTATTCTGAATTTGTACAGTATCTCTTTTTTTAAAAAAAAGCTTTTGTACAAACATATCAATGCGTGAATAGTAGGGCACCCGGAGTCCTTCGGGATTGGGCGGCATATAAATGTGTCTAATAAATAAAATAAATAAATAAATAAATACATTCTAATATAAACAAAACCAATAGCATTAGTCATAGTTATTACTTTCAACCAACTTATATCTTTCTAATGGCAATACCCTGCCTTCCCAAAAATAAGACCTCCCAGAATAAGCCCAATCAGGCTTTTGAGCACATGCGCTAAAATAAGCCCTCCCCCCAAAATAAGACCTCCCCAAAAATATTGCAACACAGCAGCAGCCATGAGGTGACCCCGCTCGCCATTTCCTGCACCTAAAAAATAGTAAGACCTCCCTAAAAATAAGACCAAATGCTTATTTTGGGGGGGCTCAAAAGAAACTAAGACGCTCTCTTATTTTCAGAGAAACATGGTACATATTTATATAAAGTTGCAATTATGTCATTATTCGATTATTCCATTTTTCTCTTCTTATTGCTCTTATTATATAAAGGTGTATACGCTAATATTCCCCTTTTCTCTTATTTCTAATCTCTTATACTAACTTATAATCATGTCATCCTTCATTTAAAAAAAAAACATTTTCTTTCTATCCTACCTAACTTCTAGTCATGTCACCTACAAAGAAAAGCAAGGGAAGAGAGAGACAAAGGGAAGCAAATCAAAACAACACCAAAAGCGAAAAATCATCTATCCATCATCTCTTGCCCCGCTCCAGTACTTTAACAGTGCTGTGCTTTTTTTAAAAACTTTTTTGAGTCAAAAAAGAGAAAAACCTCTTTTGAGATAGGAAAACAGTGTCACAGAAAAAAATTAAGACGTCTTCCGTGGGGCATGCTGGAGGATTATCCAGCAACATGGCTTGAAATAATGGATCACATCTTAAAAGTGCTTAGTATTGATAAATGTACAGTGGTGAAGGTGGATTGCCTTGAACTCCTGAAGGAGTGGGAGATAAATGAAATAAACGTGAATGTTTTCTATGGAGATTCTCCGTCATCCAGGTCACGGCTGCCCCAAGGGTGTTTTTTTCAAGAGGCAACTGGACTTTATGGTTTTTCTTTGAAGTCCTTTCGCTTCTCATCCAAGAAGCTTCTTTAGTTCCAGTAAAAAACTAAAATAAAGAAACGAGTTACCTCTTGAAAAAGCACCTTTGGGACAAGTAAACCTTATTTGAAGTTCTTAATGTTCTGACCCCCCTCTTGGTACACCAAGGCACTCCAAGACAAGATTACTGCTAGACGATTTATTCACAGTAAATCAACACACTGACCAGACCTTGGCAGCAATCCAGACTTCCAAGATAAGAAATATACACAAGAGCTTCTCCAGCATTGGTAATGAAGTTGAATCCTGCAAACAGCCTCCTCCCAAAGCCTCTCCTTATATACTCTCTTGANCTTTAAAAAATAAGTCTAAAAATTTGAACATTCTATAGGCATTTATAGTTGTTGACTTACCTCCTTGCAGCAAACAGCCTGATTAGCACAAGAAAAAATATCTGCCTCTGTCTCCCAGCAATTTGTCTTGTGGAGCAAACAGCAAGTTTCACTTTCAATTTCTCAACAGCTGTTTCAGACTGCAGGGATTGCTATAGCCTATGGAAGCCTGGCAAGCCCCCCCACTTTGCTGCAAAGAGGTAAATTGCTGGGAGGCAGAGGCCAAAGGGTTGGCACCCGTGGGTGGGTGGGGCTACATTCAGTGTATAAAACACACCAAAATTTTCACCCTATTTTAGTGGGGGAAAGGTGCATCTTATACTCCAAAAATACAGTACATAAAGTTGCATAGTTATATAAAAATCAATAATTCAGTCAGTTAGTTGAAAAATTGCAGAGATTTTAAAAGTATCTGTTCATTTTCTGCAATCGTATTCCAGTCTATTTAGAAGCCCCATTGAATTCAAAGATTCTTCCTATATATGCCTGTAGAGGATTGTGCCTTTGTTGTTAACATAACATGATGCTTATACTACATAAAATCAGGAAGTACAATATGTATACTGAGAATGGTACTGATTATCTCATTTGAGTTCTGAGGTTTTTTTTCTGATTGAATTGTATGGATATTGGTGATGACAAAACATGTTAATTTTCTACATTTTAATTACAGGGCCATGTTTGAAGTTAACATGAAAGAAAGAGATGGTGGGAGTGTTACGATAAGCAATTTAACACCCAAGGCAGTGAAGGCTTTTCTAGATTATGCTTATACTGGAAAAACTGAGATAACAAGTGATAATGTGGAAATGTTCTTTCAGCTGTCCTCCTTTCTTCAAGTTTCACTTCTTTCAAAAGCTTGCAGCGACTTTCTAATTAAGAATATTGATCTTGTTAACTGTTTGCAACTCTTATCCATTTCTGAAAGTTATGGCTCTACCAAGCTGTTTGAGCGTACACTTGAGTATGCCCAGCTCCATTTTTCCTTGCTTCTCCAATCAAATGATTTCTTGGAAATGAATTTTGAGATACTGCAAAAATGCATAGAAGCTGATGAGTTGAACGTACCAGATGAAGAATCTGTGTTGAAAGCTGTCTTTTGGTGGATGAAACATGACTTAGAAACAAGGCATAAATATCTTCCTCATTTGATGAAAAAGATCAGGTTACATCAGTTACCTGAAAAGACATTGCAAGATATTTTGCACTCTGAGGAACAGTTACTTAAAACCACAAATTGCTTAGCGGTAATCAAGGAAGCAATTCAAAATGTACAGTGTTTCAGTGGGCTTTTCCCAGATCCCCGCCCATCAACTACCGAAAAATACATACTGGTTCATAAAACTGGAGAAAATAAAGTTAAACATACATTTTGCTATAATATTAAAACTGATCAGTGGAAAGAACTGATACAAATAAATATATTCGATCTACCTGGATCAAGTTTATCTAGTTATGGTGAAAAAATATTCATAACTGGTGGGTGTAAAGGTAACTGTTTCCGGACTATTAGACTTCATATTGGTGAAACGTTTCACGATGCCACAGATCAAACTTGGTGTTATTGCCCAGCAAATGATAGCTTCTCATTAGTATCTGCCATGAAGAAGCCAAGGACAATGCATACATCTGTTGTGATTTTAAATTGTTTGTATGTAATAGGAGGGAAGACGAGGGCATCTCAGTATATCAAAAGCCTTTTGGATGTTGAAGCATATAATCCCCTTACTAGAGAGTGGAAATCTATGAGTCCATTACCAAGGGGCATCTACTATCCAGAAGCAAGTGCCTGTCACAGTGTAATATACGTGCTTGGTTCTGAAATTGAAGTCGCAGATGCCTTTAATCCATCTCTTGATTGCTTTTTTAAATATAATGCTGTAACAGATCAGTGGTCTGAGTTAGTAGCAGAATTTGGGCAATTCTTTCATGCGACCTTAATCAAAGCTATTCCAGTGAACTGTACCTTATACATTTGTGATCTTTCCACTTACAAAGTTTATAGCTTTTGTCCAGAAACCTGTGTCTGGAAAGGAGAAGGCTCTTTTGAGTGTGCTGGTTTTAATGCAGGGGCAGTTGGAATACAAGATAAAATATACATTCTGGGTGGAGATTATGCTCCTGATGAAATAACTGATGAAGTACAGGTCTATCATAGTAGTAGATCTGAATGGGAAGAAGTTGCACCTATGCCAAAGGCCCTTACTGAGTTTCATTGTCAGGTGATTCAGTTTAATAAATTCAGGGATCCATGGTGTCAAAAGCAATGTGATACAAATGATTATACATAAGAATCTAATTTCTCAAATGTATTTGCTCCTTGTTTATTTTGCCGCCTATCTTAGCCATTGTGATTTTAAGATAACCAAATATTAGGATGTCAATCTACCAAAACATATTTCATTTTCATAGAATGGGGATTGGTAATTCCTCTGTAGTTAATGTGTTAAGACACATCTTTTGAGTGTGGTTGGCCTGTGTTTAATAGTAATTTATTAATAAATTATTGAATTTATATGCCAACATAGCTGGCTACTTTTGACCTTGAGAGCACTTTCTAAAATAATGGGGGGGGGGGAGAGATTTAAAAATTACACTAGACAACTTGTAATTATCCCAAGTTCTATAAATTTATTTAAAATGGCATCCATAAGGTGAATACATTTTAGATTACTAATTTCAGGAATTAAAAAATCAATATTATGGTATAAAAGTGCACATGTATGTGTTTGTGTATTAATGATTCAGACTCTTATTAGTGGGAAAAAACCTTACACCCTTTAACATACAAATTCAGGAGTTGTATTCCATGCATCACATACTTTTCCTTTCTTTGCAGCTATAAAACTGCATTTTTTCCAAATAAAATCACAACTGTTAATATATTTCATACCCTGTTTTTTTTTAACTTTCTGTTTACATTAATAACTTCTGCAGCAATTTCCTATTGAGGCAGCAGTCATAATTTGAAAACCCATCTCAGATTTTTAATCCCAGAGTTTATTCCTTAATGAATATGCACTTGAAGGATTTTTCATGTTAAATTAAAGAAGAAAATTCAATTTTGGTGCAAAAGAAACACTGATTTATTACAAGTTCTTTCCTATGTACCACTAAGTTGTTTTTCCAATATAATCAAGGCAGGAATATTTCATAATAATTGTAATTACTGAATTTCAACATATTTTCTCTTTTATTGCTATCAAATACTGTTAAAGTTTCACTAAATCATTGCTGTTTATTTCAAATATTAGTATAAATTACAGTTCAATTTCTTTCAGGGAAAGTGATTGAATAATTGAACTTTATTTTTATCCTATATGCTAGGTCATTCTTCCTTAAATTATATAGTCATTATAACATGAACCATGGATTGTCAATTCTCCATGCTGCTCATGTACTGTTCATTCCATCTGCTGAAAATAAGTAGGATTATACCATACATTGTATAAAGGAGAAATATCATTTGTTCTTGGACTCCTTATTCTTATATGTGATCTTGAATAAGTGCTGTTGACTCCTGTTGGATATACTTCTGAGAAAACATCTTTCAAGGAATCAAGCACAACAAAATAATTTAGGAATCAAGATAGAAACCATAAGAATGTGATAATAAGGAGTGTTATATTAAATAGCTCCCTAGAATTTGGATTTGTCACATAGGTTATTTGGTGTTTTTTTCCCATGACATCAAAAAAGACTGGAAAATTTTACCAGTTTTAAAGCAGTAGTTAAATAGTAGTGGAATTATAGCTCAAAAGGACAAAAACAAGGTGACATATTTTGCACAAGCAATTGGTCTTGATGGCTATAGTATATGCTAATGAATTGCATGTGAATAAATATCTTATTTGCACTAAGAATATATAACCATATATCAATTATACAATTATTGTATGATCAATAAAGATATGGCATGATGTAATGAATATTAGTGTAAAGTATATAGCTTCTTGAGTAATCTACTACCATAATCAATCAGTATCAGCATTCAAATGTAACATTCAAATGTAATTATTTTACGTATTACTTTATACCCGAAGTGGCCCCCAACTTTTTGGGCACCAGGGACCTGTTCCACGGAGATATGTTTTTCCACAGACTGTGTGTGTGTGAGAGAGAGAGACACTGAGAGATATTTTGTGTGCTGCCTGCATCCCACAGAGAGGGTTTCTGGCATGCCACAGACGGATGCAAGTCTACAGACTGGGGCGTTACGACCCCTGCTTTATACTGCTGAAGCAAATATAACCAGAAAATGAAACAAATGATGAGCCAAAGCCTGTTTTGTAACTCTACTATGTGAGCAAATAATATCCTAACAAAGCAAAATGACAACATGGATTTTACTATTTTAAAAATCTTGAATAACTAATATTTAAAAAGAAAATATCTATTGTTGAATGTGACATAGCAATTTTTTTGTACATAAAAATGGTTAATAGTTATAATCTCCATTGAAGTAGCCTTAC